CGTCCCACAGTTACAACCGTGACCGCCTCTCTCAGCGTTTGTCTGGCACTGGCCACCCTTGCCCGGATCTTCACCAGATGAATGACGTCAGCCCACCTATCACGTGACCCACAGGGGGTCGTAGGAGGCTCCGCCCACATACATGACGTCATTAGCTCCAGTTTCTAGACTGACGTACATTACTGTAGATAGTTCTTTGTACATTGTCGCCACATTATTGTATACTAGTAAATCAAAACTCAACATTATACTATAACAGTAAATCAAAACTCAACATTATACTATAACAGTAAATCAAAACTCAACATTATACTATTACAGTAAATCAAAACTCAACATTTTAGTATACCAGTAAATGAAAACTCAACATTTTAGTATAATAGTAAATGAAAACTCAACATTTTTGTATACTAATAAATCAAAACTCAACATTATAGTATACTAGTAAATCAAAACTCAACATTTTAGTATTCCAAGCTTAGTAAATCAAAATTCTACTTTGTAGTATACTAGATCTTGTAAATCAAAATGTCGAAAATAAAGTATGAAATTCAGACGTGTAGTAGTATATTTTGATGAGGCGTATCGATTCGTCTTTGTCTCAATCCCCTTCTCAAAAAAATGCTCGTGCTCAAAATATAACAGTTTTTGCTGTTCCTAAAACCCTCGTATTTTGAAATAATAATGCGATCATGAGAAAGTATAAAGTACGGCGACGCAAAGCTACGTTCCATCATAGTTCTGTCAGTAATTCGTGGCTCAACTTATCCTCAAAATCTCTTTAACGGGTGAATCACTGTCACCCATACTTTGCACAGCAGTATGTATCAATTTGTCTTAACTAAAATTTATTCATAGTTTATCAGAACAATTGGGGCTAAATAAAAAATACTTTTTTTCATAAATTTATATAAAATACTTGAATTCTCTGTCACTCGTAAAATGGGATTGTTCACAGCACTTCCCGCTTCTCACACACATTTTGTGTACGCATATTATGGCCTACGCCACAGCTCACAAATGATACTTTTTAGTGGCAAAACCTGTTAAAAGAAATTAATTTTATTATTAACGCATTTTTTTGCATTAATGGTTCTCAAAACATGCGTTCAATAACCATAATGTCCCGATTAGAAAAACATGACGGACTTGCTGTTAAAAGCAATATTGCCCCAGCTGTAAACATAAAAAAAAATGTGTAGAAATTACCCACGTGGATTTTTAAATTAGTATTTAGTAAGGAATTTTCTAGAAAACAGCATACAGGTGTTTACAAAAATGTTGATAGTTTAGACAAACTGATACAGTAATTGTGCAAACATGAGAATCCACGTTCGATAGTTGAGGAGATATTTGACAATAAGTTTCGCCACGAATTTTTGACCGCACCATTTGTGTCATGCTCCAATGTCTGTCTCTTCCACGATATATTATTTTGTCTCATTTTAAGAAAATACACACCCGCACATACACACACACATACACACACATACACACACACAAACACGCACGCTAGCACGCGCACACACGCACACTCATACACACACACAAACACACAGACACAGACTGACACACAGACAAACACACACACACACACACACACACACACACACGCACACGCACACACACACACACACACACACACACACACACGCACACATGTATACACACTGTATGTACATTGTATAATAATGTGAATCAATACATTAACAAACAGAAATATACTCGTATGTTGTGTGTATGTGTGCAAAAGTGAGACGTACATTTATGCTCATTTATCCAGTTTCGAAATGCTTTTACAAAAATATACATGGTTAATAAAGTTCTACTTCCAATTTAATAAACTTTTTTTTCCTATACTCTATCTTGTTTGTATTGTTATTTAAAACATATTTATGTAGCCAACTCTGAGTTGTATACCTTTCTTCTGTTTTATTTTATTTATTTTATTTTATTTTATTTTATTTTATTTTATTTTATTTAGTTTATTTTATATATTTATTAATTTTTTTACTTGCGGAGGGTGTTAAAAACCTCCCATTGTGCTATGTAAGGAAAGACATTTGAACAACCAAGGCAAGTACTGTGTACTACTCCACTGAGGGACTACTTACCCCCACGTGTCCACTGAGACAGACACCGCCCCATCTTTTGTCGAGAGGAAGAAATTCGGTCGGGCCGTTTCCGTCTTGTATGTCCACCAGTTCGGACAAGACACGTCTAGTCTGTTGGCCTTGGCTGTCTTATCCCACACACTGTGTCCTCGGTACAGGGATATAAATAGTCGAGGACAATGAACCCAAGGCAGGAATAAGGAATGAATGGGTTATCTAAGGAACATTGGTAAAATTGTTAATATGCATTTAAAACAGATGGTTTGCACGTAGACTTTGCTAATTTTCAGGCGCCAATTACGAATATGATATTATAATTTTAATCCGAACTCAAAATTAAAATTATTGTTTAGCTCCGGCGGGGCCTAAAGCTCCCGAGTCACAACCCGCCAGGCTAAAATTGAGCAAGCGGCTTTCCAACCGACATGTCTTTTGTCGGGGCGTGCCGTGTCGTGTCGTGTCTGTTGACACAGCCAAACGGACTTTTCTCGGATTTCTTAGCAAATAAACGGTGCACCATTTCAACTACCGACTTTCCGAGAGACGGACGGAATCGGGTCTTCTGGTGTCCCCCACAGTGGACATGGACCCTAAATAAGTGTTAAAAGCCAGCAGCAAGCTCGGTATATAGGATACTTTTTTCTTTCTGTTAAGCTTCACACAGTACGGGTTGGACAATGCCAGTGTTTGTGTATCCAATCAAGGTGATGAATGACCCCCCCCCCCGCCCTCCCCCTACCTCCCCCAACGTTTTAAAAGTCACACGAAGTGAACTGGAAAATGAAAGGCTTGAGAACACGTATGGCCACCTTGTGCATTGAAGCGGTCAGTGCAACGCTGCTCACAGATCTACGGAACGTTCCTTGAGTGAGCTATGGTGGAGGGACGGACCAGGTTTACGAACCAACTTTGTGGTATTTCGATAACATCTTCGTTTTCTGTAACAAGAACAACTGCCACAGATATAGCTGGCTCGAAATGACCCATCCTGTCTCAGTGGGTCACAAGACCAAAATGAGCCCGGTGTAATTATCATACTGAGCTGTGTGTACATACTGCCCGTTACACCATCTGGCGGTTAGGACAGCAACAAAGGATCTCAAGCTCTGTCTGTTTTGGGCCATCTTGGTCAAAGTCCTCCGCGAATAGTTCCAGGACTGTGTGTAGGTAACCCAAAAACTGTCAATTATATCGTGCAACCAGGATTGTACAATAGAATTAATCATGTATGGGCCGTTTGACACTCGTGAAATGTTATGGGCGTGGGCGAAGGTCAATTGTGACGCATCATCGAGAGTGATGACCGTGTACAGGCTGCTTTAAATACCAATAAGACGTACACAAACTAGCTGTAAACGTAGTAAGTTAGCTGTTTGTTAATGAATGGTTGAATCCTCTCATGCCCCCCCCCCCTCCTGTTGATTCACAGACTGCCCCGATGTGTTACAGTCATTATCGTACACTTGTAACCAATCCAATCTTCCGAATCCCATCTCTCACCACTAGTTTCCCAAGAACCATAATATCCCATCTACATAACCCATATCCCAACTGTCACTCTGTAAACGTGTTTCCTTTCCCTTCCTCTCTTCGTTTAATACAGGGTAACCCAACACTTTACAACTTGCTTGGTAAATGTGTTCCTCCATACTGAAGTTTTGCATTTCAAATTCGAACACAGTATTAAAAAGTCAAAAGCAATTTGTCTTATATTCCTTTTAAATACTTCCACAGAATTGTTTTGTTTTATATGACGCTGTAAAAAGAAAACACAAGCCATTTGCAACCTGTACCAGATAGTAGTCTCTGCCTGTACCCATTTTTGTAGCAGGACGCACCGGTTCGCACCATGCCTACCACTAAAGTTGCATCTGTTAGTGTCATGTTGCGCCGTACTACAAGCAAAGAGTCTACATAACAAGTGGGGCCACTCCTCTCTTTTGAGCCAATTAACAAAGTGTCCTCAAAATTCGGTGGCACCCTCTTCGCAAATGCGCACCCTTTGCGAACAGAGTTACCCTACTTGAGTTGAAAAAATCAAAGGGAAACTAGCAAGTTTTTGGATACATTTCGGAAGAACGTTTTTTTTAAATGGTTATGCTGACAAAAAAACCTCTTCCGGAGGAAAGGGTGATTCTTTTCTTCGTTTAATTTGACTGTAGAATGAAAGGCGAGAGGTCATTAAAATTTTAAAAACCTAAAACTCCGCACTGAACGAACCCGAACTGCTGATGAACAGCAGTCGATCTGCGCACGCAAGGAGGTGCTATTCCTAGCCTATTCTTTTTCTGGAAAAACGAAAGAGAGCTTCAAAACAGACTGCAGCACCATCTGAAGCAAAGAGCGGACTTCCGGCGGACACTTTTTTGGCTGAGTGGACCATCTTGTTATGTACTATCTTTGTTACAAGCTACTGTGCAGTCTAACAAGCCAACAGAAGTTTTCAGACATTGTTTTTCCCAAATTTCCTTTGCCTGTTGAGATCAAGGATACGTTTAGTAAAGTTCAGAGAGCTTTTTTGTATTGAACATTAGTCTACGCATCCACCAAAATAAGATCGCTTCCAGGCCAGGCTAATGTACCAAGTTTTTGCATGGTGTAGAACCGGCTGGGAGCAGCAAGAACAACAGACACCATTGCTGCTTCGAAAGACAGATGGAAGTGGAGGTCCATGATCGCCCACGCCAGTCGGCAAGGCACCGGATGATGATGAGAATCGACTTAAAAGATCCACGTCCACTGTGTCAGACCAGCTAAACCTATTGTTAGCCCAAACAACTCAGGCGACTTATTTATTTATTTACATTTTCAGCATTGTTTCTGGTGGGTAGATCTATAAAGACATAAGTATAGGTCTAGACAAGACTGACTTTGTTTTATTACGCAGAGTCTAGAGTCTATCCCTGGCGTACATTTTAGCTTATACGGACCGGGTGTGGTGTGACATAGGTATTGGCTCGTTCTAACCTAGCCTATTTTTAGCTCTCTCGAGAACGAAATATCTAGGTCAAGTGCTTTAATTCCATTTTTCTGTTGTTTTTCAACACAAATCTGCTATTGTACAGCGTATTATAATGAGATACAACTTTACTGATAATGTAAAGAGCAATGAAGAAGCAAAAAAGAACTTAAAATGCAAATTTCCTTCCAAAATG